AAATACAGGTTTTTCTACATTATAACGTTATCTGCACTTTTTAACTTCATTGAATTTTTTAATATTTATCATTAATCATTTTAGTATGTGGATGGACCTTCATTTTATTGCCTGTAAATTAATTTTGACCCGTCTTCTTACTTTCCAATCATCTTAGTTTACTTGATCACTTTGTTCTTGTGATCAGACTATTAATAATTTGATCTCAGTAGTTATCTTGATGATTGCTATAAAATTTTGTATTTTGATTTTTCTTGTGAGAAAACATGTAGACTGTGCCTCTAGAAATTCGTCTTTAATTTGTTTCATCCTACATTTTGGAAGCATTTACCATTATTATTGTTTTTTCCACAAACTTTCTTTTTACTCCTATGGCATGTAATACTCAAGAGCCATTGGTAGAATGAAATGCTTCCTACAGTGATACATGATGACTCTGCCAGGTTTCTCTGTACTGACAGTGTACAGTGAGAAGTATGATGGGTCAAACAATTATAAATGTTGTAATTGTACGTGCGTTCCCTCTACTTTTATGAAATTTCATTTGATTTAAAAACTTGTTGTGGGTTTAGTTTTCCTATTGGTGATCATTGAGGAAGACCAACTCAATTAGATCTTATTAATTTTGATGTTCTGAAATTTAGATAAGTTTCTAGACCAGTAGTAACAATGAATATATCAACAACTTAAAGATGGAAAAGAGCTCCCTCTTTCCTCCTTTTCGCTGATGCTGCATGGAATCTCTCTCGAGTGCATATCCAGCTTTAGTCAGCTAATAGAATTCTGACTCTTGTTTTGTGCGAGCTGTGTATATGTGATAGTTGTTGTAGCTGTTGAGGATCACACTGTCACTTGATTAGGTCTTATCACGCAGGAGGACATAATGTTTTAGATTGGTTTATTGAATGCATAGTAGAATAGTGGTTCATAATCCTGTAGATAATTCATTGGAACACCCTTGCCCGAAATATTCTATGGTTGTAAAAGAGACTGACAATTATATTTTCTAAACTATTATTTCACACAGGATTGTTTTCTTTAATATTGTGACGAATGCACATTACTTAAACCTTAATTATTTATTCCAATGCACATTACTTTAGCATGAATTATCTTGACTATAATTTTGTACTTGTTTCTGTCTACCCCTATGATAATACAGAGGCTTGAGGGAAACCTTACGAAGGAAAAAACACGTTCCATCCGGCATTTTCATATGTAAATCACATCTTGGATGTATCAATCTGTCGACACCCTTCAACCTTGATTGAAAACATAACTGAACTAGAAAGTTTCTGGGTCCTAAACTTACTAGCTCAGTGCATTTCTCTTTCCCACTTAGTTTAACGTAGTCAATATTTTTCAACCAGGGACAGGGATTATGACCGGGATAGGGATTACGATCGAGACTATGGTAGGGGGCGTGAAAGAGACCGAGACCGAGATAGAGATCATGACAGAGATCGTGACAGAGACAGAGACCGCCACCGAACTAGAGATGATAGAGATTACGGTCGAGAAAGAGATCGAGAAGGCAGGGACCGAGACAGAAGAGACAGAGACAGAGGGCGACACCGGAGTCGCTCAAGGAGTCGGAGCCGGAGTAGGGACCGTAGAGACCGCGACCGTGAGGATGGAGACCACCACCGGAGGAGGCACCATGAACGAAGCAGTGCTAGTCCTCGTGGGCGGCCTGAGGAGGAACCAAAGAAGAAGAAAAAGGAGAAAAAGGAGAAGAAGAGTGATGGAACTGATCACCCAGATCCTGAGATTGCGGAGGCAAATAGGCTTCGGGCTTCTCTTGGTTTGAAACCCCTGAAAATGTGAGACAATCTTAACATTGTCTGGACCATGTTGTGTTTGATAATGCAGATAACCATCGATTCTTCCGAATGTTATTAAGTGAAAGATATGTCCCGGAGATTGTCTGTCTGTATGTCCATATATATGCTGTTCCTGTGCATGATATTATGTGTTCATGTGTTATAGTTTTGTTTCGACTGTGGAGGCTGTTATCGTTTTTATATCATATGTGCATGTACAAATTCCTGGTGCATGCTATGTGGATACTGTTGAGGAAATATTTGAGTGAATGTCTCCTGAAGGAATGGAGGTTACTTCACAAAAGAACTCTTTTCTTCACGAAATCCTGAAATTAAGTAGCTCTCATGCGACCATCTGTACAATTAGAAAGGAAAATAAAGTTGAGGTATTTATAATTCTGTTTGAGTCAAATGGGACGTTGTCAGCACACCTGACGCAATCTTAAAAATTGCATGGCTCTTGAGACTAAGGGCGTGTAGGGTAAGGGAAGTCAAGGGGAAATAGGGGAAGTCAAGGGGAAATAGGGGAGAAGAGAAGGGAAGGGAAGTTAAGGGCTCCGTCTCTCCAAGGGGTAGAACAAATTTTTTGTTGTTGGGAGTAACTAAGGTGAACTGAGGGTAATTTTTTAAGGGCCTGTTTGGATTCGTAGGGGGTGAAGGGAAGTTAAGTGAAGGGAAGGGAAGGGAAATGAATGGAAGGGAAGGGAATTCCCTTCCCCTTGGTTACACCCCAATTTGGGGGGTAACAATTTTTATACTATTAGGGGGTGAACCAAGGTGAATGGAGGTGAATTAACTTTACCTCCTAAGTGTTCCCAAACAAGGTGAATGGAGGTGAATGGTTCCCCTAACTTCCCTTCACCCTCATTCCCCTCAATCCAAACAAGCCCTAAAGCTATCCAAATACGAAGAATGTCTCTAATACCTTCTCTTCATTGTTCACCCCATTCTAAACAGACCCTAAAACTTGCCAAACCAACAAGAAACAAGCGCCATTTTGTTTCGTGTTTTACAGTAACAAAAAATGTGATCCTTTTTGGCGAGTGAATCTTTAAGATTCTTTCAACTTACAGTGCTTTGCTTCGAAGACGTGTTACTATTGATGCGTGCTGTCCATTGT